TTGTGAAAACATCCTTCAAAAACACCACCCTTTTTTTTTTTTTTTTTTTTTTTTTTTTTGCGGTACGCGGGCCTCTCACCGTTGTGCCTCTCCCGTTGCGGAGCACAGGCTCCGGACGCGCAGGCTCAGCGGCCACGGCTCACGGGCCCAGCCGCTCCGCGGCACGTGGGATCTTCCCGGACCGGGGCACGAACCCGCGTCCCCTGCATCGGCAGGCGGACTCTCAACCACTGCGCCACCAGGGAAGCCCAGCAGTTTTGTTTTAACTTTGGCTGTATCTAAAGGTATCTCAAGATATTCATTCTCCACATTAAAAAAAATTCAATTTACAAAGGTTTGCAGGTGTCTATGCAAGGCAGTGCACTAGGCCTCATAGGGGGTGGGTACACAGATGGCAAGGACAGTGCCTCCCCCCATGCAGGAGCTGATCAAGAGAAGGGGCAGAGGCAAGCACCCTTTATCTGCAACACAGCTAGACAAAAGGGAGAGAGACACAGCCAAGTGCAGCGGGAGCTTCGGAGAGACTGGGAAAATCGCATTGGGGGCTGGTGGTGAGAGGGCAGGCGATGGCCTCCCAGAAGAGGTGACAGTTGACGACATGAGACAGATACATAGAATTAACAGAGCCAGGAAGGAAGAGGGCAGTCACGCCCGAGAACGCAGCTGGCAAGGCTGTAGGCAAGCACCGGCCACGTTGGTGAGGGAGACTGTAGGGTGGTAGGGCTGGCGTGAAAGGACGGCCGAGGAACCGTGGGGCAGCCAGTAGGACCCGACAAAAGCGTACGAAGAGGTGAATGACGAGAGCTGCCCTGTGATTCAGGGATGACTCTAGCCACGATGGGATGGAAAAATCCCTCATGGAGGGGTAAGAGATTTGTGGGTAGGGGGCTGACGAGTTAGGAGGCTGAGACGACAGCCGAGAAGACACGACAAGTCTGGAAACTAGATTTTCTGGTTAGTGGAAAGGAAAGGAGGGAAGCAGGTCCTGGGGTCCTGTGGGAGAAAAATGAGCACATTCCACACTGCCTGGAGCTGGGGGGAAGGGGCAGGAGGACAGCCAGGTCCCAGGGTCCTCTCCGGCTGTTGAGGGACGGAAAAGGATAACAAAAGAGAGACTGATTATTGTTGGGAGTGTTAGTGTTAATAGAAGTGTAGTAGTGGTAGCGGGAGTAACTTTTGTCAAAGGGATGAAAACGAAAACATCTACCATTTCTCAAGGTCTTACAGATCTGGGAGGTCGGTGAGCTCAGCTTTGCATCTGAGATGCGCAAACATCCCCCAGGAGCTGACTAGCCCTGTAAGCCTGGGGTGCAGGCCAGGGTGAGAGGTCTGACACCCAGGGCCATCACCGTCTGGTGAGAAAGAGCTGATGCTGGGAGGGCAGGCTGGGGTGCGGGGAAGGCAGAGGTGGAGGGAGAGAGAATAGAACTGAGAGCAGCTCCAGGCCACAGACATTTTATCTGGCCCACATAGAGTGTTTTTAAAATAATTTTAACTACTTGTCAAACATTTAAAAAGTAGCAAATGTCACATCACACACATGAAAGTCGTTTTCCAAATTCCCGTGGAAGATGGAATATTCTGGAACATTGGACCTGCACTTCTTGGAGAAAATGACCTGGAGTTGAGCAGTGGCTGCCTCATTAGCTGGGGCAGGTGACCCCCTAGTCCCACCACTCCCCTCGGCCTCATACCTGGCTGGCTCCCCGCATGCCTGAGCCCTGGCTCTGAGCCCTGGCACAGGGTGGAAAGAAGGCCGGGGTGGCAGCAGGAGCTCATGAGAAAGCCAGAGCAGGATGAAGACCACGGAACAGAAACCAGCACAGGGACCATTCCGGGCAGGAGGAGGGGGTGATGGGTGGTGCTGAGGGCGTGGAAGGCTGGGCGGGGAGGGTTATAGCTCCTCTATGACTAACCTCTCCCGGCTCCAAAGATACAGAGGTGGGAAGTTCAGGGAACACAGAACATCAGTCCCAGGCCTGGAATCTTTCACAGTACACGTTGGTGGAGGGGTATGGGGTTGGGGACAGGAGGGGTTCACTGCCCTAGGCCAGGCCCAGGACTCGCCTTAAACACCGTGTTCCTGCTGCTGTGATGGTGACGGCCCGATCCCGTTGCAGAAAACTTCCTCTGTTTGCTTATGCCCCTACTGGGACCCGAATGCCAAACAAGTTAACAGCCATGGTGTTTACAGCCATCACTCAGCTGTGTCTAATGTCATACTGAAAGCTTGCCTCACCTCAGCTGACCTTCCCCCCGACTGTGGTCCCAATGGGGAGCTCAGCCAAAGAGGAAAATAAAGTGACTCCGTGGAAGATTCTGGACACATTTACTAAAGGAAGCAGAATGGCTGCTAGGATCAATGAAAGCACGTTATAAGCCGCAAAGAGGGAGGAGGCCAGGGTGGGAAATCCGATTCCACCCCGAATGTAAGTCTCCAGCTAACTGGAGAGCAGGGGCAAGAATGTGTGGACTCGTTTCATATTCCCCTTCCTCCTGTGGCCCTCGTGAAAGTGGAATTTCTCTAGAGGATCCGGAACGAATCAGAAGCACACCTGCCCAGAGAATGAGAAACAACAGTTCCTTCAAGGCTGCAGAGAAGGCATGACCACAGGGGAAAGCAGTCAGCCAGGCACCTTCCTGAAGAAACATAAGCAATGTAGGCCAGGTCTGTACAGGAATGTCCTGCAAAGCCTCCTGCCAGCCAGGGACGGATTATTAAGGATATAAGCGCTCCTCTGATATGGAGGGCCCAGAGGGGAACTGGTGAGGCTCTGCAGCTTCACTGCTGTGTCTGGATGCCAGTTCTCCCATTGATGAGCTGTGTGACTTTGGACAAATGTATTAACTTCCCTGGACCTCAGATTCCTCAACTATAAAATGGAGATTT